TGGTGCTTAGTTGCTGGCTGGGGCTAAACCATGACAATAACAAAGCACCTTCTGAGTATTTACTGTGTTAGCCTGTCTAGGGTAGCTCATACAGAGCATTGATGGTAATCTTCTGATGAATAATCTCTTAAGTGTGAATATGTATACAAGGCAGATGGTACCAAGTATTTTTGCATTTTAACTCCAAAATGCAAACTCTCAATATCATAGGCTGAGGTGTGGGTCTCCACTTAGCCATCTTCACAGGTGAAACATGAACAGAAATTTAAGTGAGACGTGACAGGAAGGATAAGTACTTGTCACTAACACTTGGTGACAAAACTAGCTTACTTTACTGTTTTACAGTAATGCAATTCAGAGTAGTATGATGATAGACTGGGAACAATTGTCCAAAGCCTCCCCAACAAAGGGCTGCAATAGCTAACCTGGAGTAGCCTGAAGTGCCATCTAATTATTTTTAAAAGTGGGTGGGTTGTAGCCACTCTCATCTTTAGTGACAGGACAGGTATTAATCACTGATGTTCAGATTGGCTGTTCCAGCTTAAGCCAAGTTGCTGAATGCATCCAAGGGTTACACGTTTCTCCTTCTTTGTTCTTCTGGGGTTCTTCTTTGGATAGTAGGTGGGATACTATCCTTACGGGAGTGTTTTGCAGCCTCTGTACAACCCCCTGGGTTGTACTTTGGTTAGGGTAATAGAAATCCTGTTTCTAGCCATCCGGGATTCTCCAGAGTGTGAAAACATGATGGGATTTTGCATGCTTCAGCATAACCTACTCAAGATATGGGACCTTGTTGTGATACGCTTTATCAGGATGGTAGCTGATATTAATTGGCAAGATCTGGACAACCAGCCGTGCCAGAGGGCACTGGGCCAGCGCTGTTGCGGTGAAGGCTCACTGTGCTAAGGATAAACTGTGTAATTAACTGGAAGCATGTGTTGGGCTTCTTGATGAACTGCAGTTTGCTTTCAGACATTTTTCTGAAAGAAACACAGCATGCTTGCTGGGGCACTTGTTAGTGGTCATCAGCCAGTTCTTCTCAATGTGGATAAATTAGCAGTGAGAACTAGTTATAGCTAGAAGAGGATTTTTGTCTTGGTGACCAGATCCTGGAAACTTTTATGTTTATCTCTGTCTCTTTTTTGTTTGTTTCAATTCTTTTTGCAGAGAGAGTGAGCTTATCCATGATCCAATAACTAAGCTATGAGCAACCTCATTTTCTCCACTCTTTGGTAGGAAGTCAGCAGCCAAGGCATTATGAAGCAGAACTGAGGAGATGTTTAAGTCCAGTCGGTTTGTTCAAATGCTTCGTTTGCCTCTCTTCACTCAGTCAAGAGCCTTTATATCTTCTTGTATGATGGAGCCCCTAGGCTGGGACAGATATGGACCTGACTGGTTGAGAAGCGTTCGTTTAAGGTATTTAGGGTGGAGATGAATGACAGGTTTTATGTACATCCTTAGGTTTGGAGGTGCAGAGTGAAACCAGGTGGGATTTCTGAGCAGATGGGAGCAACCGGAGTTCAAAGCTACTCAGTGCAACACGCTGTGGCACAGGGAACCATCTGAAGTGAGATCTTGCCCTAGAGAGCTGTAGGAGGCCCCTCTTGGGTGGGACAGCCTGTTCTCATGTCGCTGTAATCAATGCAGTGTACTGCCTCTGCTGTGGTCTCCATTTATAGCACTACACTGGGCTATATAAATATGTCGCATGTACTTCAAAGCACATCTGTAAGTTTTGCACCATCCCTAGGTCTGAAATATTTCAATGACTTTGTTACTTTGCATTTCTTCAGTGTGGCTGTAGAGGACAGCTTTGGTTGCTGCTCAGGACAGAGGCTCTATTCCTCTTGAGGCTTGAATACTGCTAAGCAACTTTATGCTCACTAAGTAATAATACTCAGCTTTACCCATCACTAGCTTTCAGTAATCAAATACACAGAAAAAGGAATACACAAACCTAAACAGAGGCACATTAAAATTTGTAGCTGTCCAACAGAATGAAGAAACAGCTCTGCTGCTTTCTGCTCCCACCATAAGTGGTAAGAGTGTAAGGTACAGTAAGAGAAAGTAAAAAATCAAATGGAAAATGGACTAAGAGCCGAAGCCTGTGACGAGTTCCTAACTGAAGTATGTTCCCTTTAAGCCCAAGGGGACTCAGATCCTAACCAAATGTCTTAAGCTGTTATTTATTACGTTGTTGCAGTATTGTTATGTAAGCCATAATGTGTTTCAGTAGGCAAACATGAATAACAGTCCTCAAACCACGAACTTCAGAATATACACAGCTCGATTTAATTTTACCATGTGTCCCATCATTCTTGTGCTGTTGGAAGTAGCAAAAGATCATTCCATCTTCACATCCCCTGAACCCCTGGTTCAATCAGGCTGTCTCTGGTCTCTTCACCAGCTACCTCTTCTGAGCCAGCACATTCCTTCATTTCATCCGTGCTGTGTTCAAGCTTCTCCTTATGTTTGATCATCCCTGTGGCCCTTTTCTAGCTTATCTATATCCTCTGTGAGTTGGAATGACCCAACCTATGCACCCTATTCAATAAGTCTGAGCACAGTGGCTTTCAAATGGTGTGACTGCATGTCCTCTTTTGTTTCCTATTCCTTTTTTAGTGATTTTTAGCATTCTGCTGGGATTTGTCAGTATGACCCTGCTGACAAGTGAACTGATGATTTCAAGACCTGCCCAGGTCTCTTTCCTGAGAAAGAGATAATTACAGATTCAGAGCCTGTCACTGTCGATACATACTTAAAGGTAATTTTGTGCCCATACACATTATTTTGCACTTATCAGTGCTAACATTTTGTCATGTCCTCACTTAGCATTATGTGTACCTAAGATGTAAGTCTTAGCTGTCAACTTCAGATGTGATTATTCTGAATAATTTTGTCATGGTGTTATTTGCTGCTCTGTCAGGTAGTTTGTGACTAGATTGAGCCTCCCAAGTCCCAAAGCACATCTCCGAATGGGATCCTGCTGGTTAACTTGCGACACAATGACATTTATCTCTTACCTCTAGCCATGGGGGGGAGGTGCCTTCTACCCACTGATTGTTTAGCTTCCAGGATTGCACCATCTATCCTTTTGTAACCCATACACAGCCATTTTTCCTTACCCTTTTGCAACCCATACACAACCATTTTCCCTTCTAATATGTTGAAAAGCATCATAGGGACAGATCAGCTTTTTCTTTGGTTAGCTTCAAAAGCTCTTTCACTGTCAATGCTTGGAAATGAACCATACGACCCCTGTAAGAATCAATTAGGTTTGGCTTTTTGTACACACAGTCTTCCGTATTCTGTGTGTCATGCACATATTTTTTTGCAAATGGGTCATTCTGAGACACATCTTGCAGTAACAGGCAACATCAACTGACAGCTTTTCATCCTGTAAGCAACGTGAGCAACATGAGCAAATACAAACATTTAAAACGGATGTTTCTAATAGTATATATGAATGTTGATAATTAGAAAATAAGGGGCTTTTTAATTTCTCTTTTTAATTTCTCTTTAGTCACAACTGATTCAGTGATTGTTCTCACTCGTGTAGAACACAGGGGAATTTAATGGCAGATGTGAAGTTAATTTTTATTCTTATGACATTTTTAGAACAGAATCTGACCCATACCTCCCTTTAGTTTTGCTCAGTGGTCAATAAAAAGATGAATGTTTTTATGATGGACTGTGAGCTTGTTGATTGTCCTGGTAAGCAGCAGCTGCAAAATCTGGTGCAGTTTAGTGTGTGACAAAGCTGAATATCACACACTAATTCATTTGAATAAGAGCCAAGCTAATATTCCTTATTGGGGTAAAATGCCCACTGAAATGTTTTTATGGCATTAGGATGGCAGATTCATCATGGAAATTTAGGAACTCCCATTTTGGGTGCATTGAAAATGCATTGTTCAGATGAACAAGCTATTTATACAGACATGTGGTGTAATACTGGATACTCCTTTAATCTTTTAGAAATCCAGACGTTACCATATGGACAAACTGCACAGATTGATTTGAGGAGGCCTCACTGGATAAACGAGTACTCTGCTTCAGTTAATTTGCTGAGCTTTTATGTTAGTGTATCAGGGAAAAAAAAATGCTTTCCAGCACACAGTTTATTTGTAATGACATATATAATGAGACTGATGACAATCAACACAGGTTTGAAGCAGCTTGTTTGACAAGCAGCTCGTGATGGTTTGGACAGTTATCTGGAGGGCTTTCTTTCAGTACTTCATTGCTTTAGCCAATGCACGGCCCTTCCAATGTGGAACCACCTTTGCACATACATATCAGAGAATGCACGGTTTCCTCTACCGCTTTCCTTTCAGTGATGTACCTGCATTAATTCAGCTTAATGCCATAATGGGTTATTTAGTTTTGTTATCAACCTCTGCTTTCTCAATCTTCTGTCCTGTGAGGAACTGCCATATTCCTCCTCTGTAGTTCTCATTGCCCAGGGCATATACAAAGGCATCCACCGTTGGCACAGTCTTGGCAATAATGGCAGGAATCTGTCATGAGACACAATATTTATTAATAGAAAAATGCACCAAGGAGCCAATGGGCTGATTTCAGCATAGGCTCAGTTTCCCTTTACCATTTGTTAATGCCTGTCTCCAATGGCAGTAGCTTGCTACCCCCGGAGAGACGAGAGGTAAAAGCAGTTTGGTCAGTCGGAGGCCCTTGTTCAGGAAATTATAGTCTCCAGGAGTAAGAATTTAGATTAGCATTGCCTGAAACTGGGATATTTCAGTTGAGAGTGAATACAAACACTTAGGAGGAGTAAAGGGTGGGCCATGGACACCTTTTGATGGATAAGCGGGCTGACATTGCTAACACATTTTATGTGGTATACTGAATACCTAAGTACAGTAATGCATTTGGTGACCTGAAACTGGGCTGATTTTTGGGGACTGAATGAAAATTGAAAGGTTTGATGTGATATTACTGAGTCTCAGAGGCAGTCTCAGAGCCAAGACTCACAGAAAAAAGGGAAAAAAAGGAGGCAGGGTAACCTTAAGTGTGATCAATTGCAGCTTCCCTGAGGAGAGGGAAGTATGAGAAAAACGAATGAGACAAACAGCCTCTTCAAAACTGAAAATTCTGAGCTGGTACTTGACCCTGGGAAGAACACAAAAACCTCCTACAAACCATGAAGCAGTGCAGGCTACAGACCTCTAACTGACTGCTGAAGAAAAAAACCTCCTGACTTCCTACATTGTTGCTTGATCAAAGCAGGAATATAATGCCTGTTATATCACTGTGCTTAGCTGTTTTGCCTTGAAAGTGGTCGATGCGCAGAATGCTTGCAGGAAATTATCTACTTATTATATATGTAATTGTGAGTAAATTGGCATGGTTCCATAGGAAGGGAGAGAGGAGAGTAAGGAGAATGTCATTGTTTGAATTCCCTCGGGTAGCATAGACGTACCATGCGGTATTTTGGTGAAATGAACATCACATTTTCAACTGCTGCGTAGAAGCATAAAAGGCAATAGGGACCCCAGCAAATGACCAGCGTCTTCAATGGTAAACCAGTATTAAACTGAAAAACAAGAGCAATTAATTCCTTTGTGTTCCACAACCACGCACGGCAACAAGCGGATGGGACAGATCCTGTGAGACCGTGGTTTGGGTTCAGTAGCAGGCGAGGACCAGCCGGCAGGATACACCATATCATTGCTGCTTTGCTATTGATGTCGGAGGTGTGCGAGCACAGCCCTCTGCGCTGAGGGCTGCCCGTGCAGCAAGCCACGAAGCCCTGTTCGGGGGGCCGGGTGGGGAGTGGCAGTAGCTCCCGGGCAGAGGTGACAGAGGTGACCTCGTGGTAGATCAGTTACATCAGTGTGTGTGTGCTAGACATAGAAGCCGTGGCCAGTAATTGCTGCTGATGGGGGAGGGAAATGTGTAAATTTAAAAACAGATAGAAAGGAATGGTATTTTGCTGACCTCTTAGAGGTACTTGCAGACAAATAAACTGTGTGCAGCCGCTACTATGGCAGTGCAACAGATGGATGCAGTGGCATCTGTGTCGTGGTAGTAGGATTCCTGTGTCCTTCATGCTAGGGCCTTATCCATGGTGTTCGGGGCCAGCTGTTCCCAAGTATCTTATAAATACTAATGAACGGGGAAGTGATAATTTCATCCTTAAATTTTCTGCGTCGTAACTCGTCTGCACAGCTACAGAATATCGTAAGAAAGAAATTACACGCTACTGAGTAAACTCACTGAAAAAAAAAGGTAATAGACTTATAATAACAAACACTGAGATTTGTTCAAGAAATATGTAGAGGGCACGTGTATATATTGCAGACAGCTACAAACCAGTCTGCCTGACTGTCTCTTTGCCGGTATAACAGCCCCCTTGAGAACTGATTGTCTTTACTGAGTGCAGGGGTCGGGCTGTGCCTGGCAGCCACGCATCGTGCCCCAGACCGTATAGCCTGCACCTAAGGAAACAACTCATATAATCACCACATTACATTCCCATAAACCTGCCACGCCAGAGCAATTCCTTTGTTTCCAGCTCATAAAGATTTCTGAATTTCCTCAGCCAAGTGTAAACATGGCACATTTAGGAAGGCCCTTCTCCCCCCACAGGGTGCCTGTGTGTTTTCTTGCAGTGCTGCAGTTCTGGCTGACTTCCTCAGCGATAAGCTAAGAGCCTGTAGCAAAGCAGGAAATAATGATCCTTCCTGAGCAAAGTTTCTCTGGATAAATATTGATATGCTATTAGCAAATATTCTGCATGCTGTGTGTTTGTTTTGTGACTAGAGTTGGACCAGTGTTGGTGGAGGGGAATCCTCAGGGTCACTAGTCCAACCCCTGCTTTTACGGGGAGCTATTTACAGCACTAGGTCGCGGCAGATGAGGCTGGCTGGTCAAATCTTGAAATCTGTAAGGATGGGGTTTCCATAAACTTTCTGGGTGGCCCCATCCTGTGTTATGCTACCCTCCTACTCAAGAGCACTGGGGAGTTAGCACAGAAGGAGCTGAGCCAAAGACTCTATGAAAGAAACTGGCTTTTTGAGGACTTTGTCTGTATTGGATGGAGCCCTATTTTGGCAAGGCAGTTGCAGGGGCTGAGGAAGCCTTCTTACCTTATAGAGCCCACTTTTCTTGAACTTCTGGTGTATGGACTGATAGGCCGTCAGCATGATGAAGCCCGGGATCATGAAATTGAAAATGGACAGAGCAAAAAGGAATGTGATATAGTTTCTGGAAAGGGCGAGGAGGGAAAAAAAAGAGGTTATTAATTCCTCTCCAGGGCACCTTTGTAAACTTGCTGTAAATATTCATTAACTTACATTTTTAAAATTGCCCAAACCAGTTTTGTCAACACACTTTAGGTGCAGCATTTGCTGAAGGCCAGTTAAGTTGTGCCATGCTGTTGTGTGCGGGATGGGTAGCGTTGCAGAAAATCACAACAGGTATTTGGTTTCTAAACCCAAGCATCCCTACTCAGACATCAGTGCTGGACTGCATAAAAACAAACCATTCTTAAAGCGTTTCAAGTCCTAAACTCAGAAGAGATGCAGCTTACCGATGACCAAGGAGTAAGGGAGTAGCAGAAACCTAAGCGTCAGCCTCTCCCATGGAGGAAGCTGATTTTAGCTGCTCCCAGGTGCCGCCATGCGGGTCCAGGCAGCCTCGTGTCGTGCCTGCCTTGCCCCAGCCGCTGGGGAGGGAGATCTGCCCCAGCAACAACGATGGGGGAGCGCTGTGGGTTTTGGTGTGCTGCCAAGGCTGCCCCAGGGGGACGGCAGCCTCCACCCACCCTCCCGTGGGAGCTGGCCCTGGCCCTCACCTGTCCCCTTTGCTGTAGTCCAGGGTGCAGCAGGTTTGGAGGGGTTCGTAGTCGTATTCCCCCCACCCCAGCAAGGGCATCACAGACCAAAAGGCAGCAAACAGCCACGCGAACACCATCATGGAGATGGCTGTGCTCCACTGCAGCTTGCTCCCTGTGGGAAGAGAAAAGGCGGGTCTCCATGCCCGGAACGAAACCACGGGACAAAGCTGTCTGGCTCTGTGGGGCCAGAGCCAAGTGCCCCACGCCCTGGGCCTCGGGCAGAAACAAGCAGTTGTCTGCGTTTTGTAGCCTGAAGCTGACCTGAGTCTGGAGGAATCAACCTTGCACAAAATTTGAGGGAAGTTTTAGACTTTAGGAAACAGCACATTGTACACACTTTTGTGTGCTTAGACAAATGCAGTATTGCTGCTCAGCTTTGTACCACACTGGAGATACAGCTGCTGTTACAAACATTATATTCTTGTATTTTGGGAATGTGTTTAAAGACTCAGATGAGACAGAGAGTAGAAGGCTCAGGGTGATGCAATAAACAGTGTTTGAAGAGTTAGAGTCCCACCGCAGGGTGTCAGTCAGATCAGAAATGTGACTGCACACAGTCCCCAGCCCCTGCCTGCTTCCTTCCCACCCTGCCAGGCGTGCAGGGCACACGGGGTTATTAAGTATACCATGTTCTAAAAACGCTGCTCATCAATATATATGTAGATATGTATACACAACCTGACAACAGATCTTGTCCTAAAAATACTGCTGGTCAAATTATTTTGCCCTTAAGAGCATTCCTTAGCCTGGAACAGGAAATGTGAAACTCAGCGTTGGTAATTTTTTTCTAGTTTTATAATAAAAATGATCACTTGTGCCTATCTCATCCGGTTCCATAAAATACTGTAGGAATAGGTCAGTGAATGAAATGAAAGATTGGGAACTTCAGAAAGCACAGGAAGTATTGCTTCATGGAGAAGGCAAGCAGGCTTCCCTGCTGCTGCAGGACATTGTGTTAGCCTCGCTGCTTGCGTGTAAAAAGGCTTGGATAATTTTGTTATCGAGGCTAACGTCCGTAATCATGCCCATGCTGAATAGCCCATGACGCCAGCTGCACCAGCAAGGAGCTCGGTGACTTTGCTCACTACTCCTTTCTGATCAAATCTCCCATTAGGGAGAAGTAATGATGTAGTTTTCACTGAGGTTGGGAAGCAATCTTTTCATCTGCCCTTAACAGCAGCATCGTGACAGCAGGCTAGGAAGATTCAGGCCACTTCTGATCTTTCTCAGAAAGGTGAAGGATTGGAGGTGAGACACATGAGGTGAGGCCCTGCCATGGGAACTGATGTGCGGGTGGAGAGCGTGTGGGGGCCACACAGGCTGGAGATCCCCGCGGGGCAGCAGCCCCGGGAAGGACCCCAAGCTCTACAGTAGCTATGTTGTGTTGTGCTGTCCCTATTTATTTTAAAGAAGGATAATAAAGTAGGGGTGTGAGTGAAATTGC